ATTCCTATCATTTTGTTTTGAGTTCATGTATCACTTTTGTTGTTTTTGTGTTGTTTTGATTTTGTCTTCATTGTTGTTTTGTTAGTTTTTTTTAATTTTTGAAATTAAAAAATATAGATATATATGTATTGGCCTTCAGATTTTAGTTAATTTGCATTAAGCATGATTTACTCCTTCACAGATGAGAAAACTTGGTACAGTTAATGACACTTTTAAATTAGTGAAGTCCAACATGCCTTAGAGATGACAAATTGAGCTTTTAAGGTTAAAGCGATAAGCTGATATAATAACCTGACCTCAGCATATGATTATGTCCATAGTCATTCATTACTAATGTTCCTTGCTTATCTACATGTGTCAATCATTATGCTAGAAAATAGTTATAAGTCAAGGTCTATTAAAGTGCATCATGAAACTCAAAGCCCAGTGGATAAGATACTGTAGACTTAAAAACTAAACAAGTAGATTGTGAAGTACTGTGAGGAGAAACGGAAGCATAGGCAGAGAGCAACAAGGGAGAGGGCACGTGGAAGGACACAACAGCATGGTGATGGCAGAGCTAAGAGCAAAAGCCCTCAACCTTGAGATAAGTCAGTATGGCAGAGGGTATAGATTGTTCCATCTGCTCATTTATGTCAGAAAGATTTTTATATGTTAGTATAGTTTTGATCATACCTTCGCTTAGCAAGCATAGCAAATTTCTAGTGCCTGATTTCGGTCTCCAGCGTTCAGGCCCGTGACTGGTCAATACAGGCCTAGAGAGAGCATTCCTTGCATTTCTTGGGCCCACCCGGACAGTACGGGTATAAGAATGATTGCAGCTGTAGTAGACTGAGTCCATTTTCTGGGTGACTCTTTAGAAATGATCTTAAATCACATCTTCCTTAGAAGGAAGTATATACTTCCTTAGAAAGTATAAGGCGGTTCCTCTTCCCCCATGGACACTTCATTTACCAATGAAGTGTGTTACGGTCAAAATTATGTGTTGCATTCTGTGTAACTCCCAGAACATAACCCAGGAAGATGAGAATGAAAAGACTGTTTTACAACTATTTTACATGTATATTTTAGCAGATGTTGAGCCTCATTATGAGATGTGATAGAAATATATGGTGAATATTTAAATAAATATTTATTACA